ACCGTCACTCTACCGTCCGACCCAAGTGGTTGGACACTTTGAGTTTATTTCAATGGGTTATGAAAACAAACATTTAAAAAGTCAAATGTTTCCGCCCGGGATCGAACCGGGGACCTTGCGCGTGTGAGGCGCACGTGATAACCACTACACTACGGAAACCTGAAGTATAGTGACCTGTTATTATATGGACCAAATCCGGTTAATTGCTACCGAAGATGAACATAGTTTTTCTTCAGCGATATAATATGTTCAAAACACATTGCTTGTGTAATTATATAAATTAAACAAGGTTTAATAACGAAAATAGAGAAAATCCTGTTTTATGTATGTAGGGCGTGTGTGACGTCACGATAACATGAGAGGTTAAGTTTAGTTTAGTTCACTTATTATGCACCCCATACCCATTTTGTGGGCGGTAGTGGAAGTGGTTACAGAGACACATAATGGACTCAGGGACTGAACCCCACAATTCACTTAGCTAAGCAAGTTTCAGTCTTGATAAGCTAGTTGCAAAATTCAGTATAAGTCGTCACATCATCAATGCGTTCGCGATTGACCACAAGTATGATTTCTAAATTAAGCAACTGACATATGTGGAGAGATAGTGTCACAATTGATATGTTTGTCCTGCACACCGCCCCCCCCCCCTTCAGTGGGCAGCAGTGGATCGCTTACAATAACTTAGGTACTATCTACAGTTAGCAAACTAGGGATATTTGGCAAAAATTTCTGGTAGCAGATCATTTTGAATTAAATATTTACACATCTCTGGAACATTTGTTATAGGAAGCAGGAGGAAGTGTTATTAGATCTTCAGAGTGCGGGAGCAGGTGTTTTTAAGGCTTCAGAGAACAGGTGCGAGCGGGAAAAAGCAGGAGAGAGTGATTTTAGGGCTTCAGAAAGGGGGAGGAAGTGTTTTTAAGGCTACAGAGAGCGGGATGAAACAGGAGGAAGTATTTTTATGGATTTGGAGAGCGCGGAAGAGATTGTTGTTAGGGCTTCAGAGAGCGGGAGCGAGTTGCAGAAAGCAGGATAAATAATTTGTGAGGCTTTAGAGAGCGGGATCGAACGGGAGGAGCAGGAGGAAGTGATTTTTGGACTTTCGATGGCGGGAGCGAGCGGTAAGAAGCGGGAGGAAATATTTGTAAGGTTTTAGAGAGCGTAGCCTCCGTAACACAGTTGGTTAGCGTACAAATGTGTCTCGCTGTAGGGCTCTCACCATGTCAGTTGCTTAATTTAGAACCTGTACTTGTTGGCGGTCTCGAGCCCATTGTTGATGTGATGATGTGCATTGAATTTTGTAACTCTCTCAGCAAGATTAACTTGCTCAGGTAAATGAGTTGTGGGGTTCAATCCCTGAGCCCATTATGTGCCTCTGTAACTCTTCCCACTACCGCCCACAGGACGGGTATGGGGTGCATATTAAATGAACTATACTATAAACTAGGGTTATCCCATGGAATTGTCTAACTGGCGAAGTCGTTAAATACCAAGATACCTCAGTTCAAAATCCAAATAGAAACAATCCTCATGAACCATGGGGGGGGGGGATCTTTGACAAGCCGATGGCTTCCACTATCCGTCGAGGATACTAGTTTACTTTAGTTTAGTTCATTTATTATGCACCCCATGCCCATCTTGTGGGCGGTAGTGGAAAGGGTTACAGAGGCTACAGTTAGCAAACTGGGGATATTTGGCTAAAATTTCTGGTAGCAGATCATTTTGAATGAAATATTTACAGGATTACAGGACACTAGAGACAGGTAAATTCAGGTACAAATCTCCCACGTTCGTTATTGTGCCTTTATTTGTTAACATATAGTTAGCTCAACCTGTAATTTGTAATTACTTATATTGAAGGGGGTAGCAAGAGACTGCTATGTACCTACATTTGTAATGAAAAAACGTGAATAATACTTTAAAACAATTTCGTAGCAGAGCGTAGTTACGATCTACGGACCTCTGGATTATGGGCCCAGCACGCTTCCACTGCGCCACTCTGCTGCTCATATTATTTGGATGATACATTTTATACATCTTTTATAATATTATAATCGGTAATATTTTCTTCATAAATAAAAGTATCTGTGTTTCTGCGCAGTAACGCACCAGTACGTACTGATCTTGCGCATGTGATGCGCACATCATGGTTACTGAGCACAGCCAGCTGCGTATGACATACATCATAGCATGGGTATGTGATCACTGCTGCACACGATGGGTATGGGTTCACTACCACTCATGAACAGGACATGTATTGGAGGCACTAACGCTCACAGGATAGGTATACATGGGGTCTACAGGATAAGTATGGGATCCACTCAGCCCTGGAGGCTGATCTATCGTGTTTGTTGAGGTCTATAGCAACTCTTCTTGCATGTAAACATTCCAAGCATAAGAATTATATTTAGTGTCTGGACCGAGATTCATCAGTCAGTTACGCAAGTACTTACGAACATGTTATCTCAGTCTTTGGCGACTTTACACATATTAAACAGTTGATGAGCTCCAAAGGACTGGGAGGCTGTTTATAATTATATATTATTTTCTAAATTGTTGTGTTATGCCGCCAAAACTCGGTATGTAGATGTTCAACCCGTCCTCCTAATAGAACGGCGCCTTTTGACGAATACTCTTAACAAGACCAACAATTGCCGTACTAGAAAATGGTAGCGGCTCGTAAGATTGCAGCCCATCCTCTTGTGTTGGTAGAACTTATAGTAACGATGAGGACCAAAGTAAATATATCGATGTACAACGCAATTAGAAAGTAGAAATTTGTACTATTGAATTTAGGCAAACCGGAAAAGGTTTTATATTTTTATGTTGCAAAGACAACCTTAACCATCTGAACCTTCCTATCTTGAGGTTATCTTGAGATGATTTCTGGGCTTTTTTTTTTTTTAGTGTCCCCGCGGCCCGGTCCTCGACCAGGCCTCCACCCCCAGGAAGCAGCCCGTGACAGCTGACTAACTCCCGTGTACCTATTTACTGCTAGGTAACAGGGGCATTCAGGGTGAAAGAAACTTTGCCCATTTGTTTCTGCCTCGTGCGGGAATCGAACCCGCGCCACAGAATCACGAGTCCTGCGCGCTATCCACCAGGCTACGAGGCCTAGGCCTAATACGCGCAATATGAGGCCTAATATCGTACATATATGTGTGCTATACTAGACCTAGGAACATATGTTTTTTTTAGCTTTATTTGTTCAGACTATATAGTGATTAGTACTATATACTTCACTTCCAACTATAAAGAGTCTATAATTAAGAATTCAGACTATAAAGTGATTAGTAAGTACTATTATGTAATGACTTAGTACGTCAACGTTTGTACTATGGAGCATATACAACAACTACTGTGTAAACAGGACGATGGGTCGCGACGTTGACATACTGTGCCGTTCTCTGTTGTGTTAAGATAAGGTCACTTACGCGCGAGAGTTTGTTGACGTTGGCAGACTTGAGGAGGACGGGCTGGATCACGGGGCCAAGTGTGACATCGCTGTCAAGTGTGTTATGTCGGTCTTGTCTGAGGTCAACCCCTAGAGTTGGCCTAAATAATCGCCTCCGGGTGGGCTCGAACCACCAACCTTTCGGTTAACAGCCGAACGCGCTAACCAATTGTGCCACGGAGGCTCGAGGAACGTACTAAACAAATTTGTAATAAGGAGGAATTACTTAGATATCGAAGTGTAATAATTATCTGAGTTTATTTGAGAGCTGCTAATAGTGGCCTCGATGAGGACAGGAGGCCGGCGGCTTATTGAAGGTCCTGTCGGAAAACCCGACACTATTTAATAATATCAATTCAACAGGCAGATAATATTGCTGCTGTGTTGTATACACAAGTTAACCATAGAAAATGTAGCTTGTAGTGGAATTTTCCGTCAATGGAAAACGGGATATCATTGCCACATAGTACTATATATTCACCAGCTATTCTGTTGGGAATTATTCTTAATTGCAGTAGTCTTTGGACTTTTAATATCATAAAAACATCTCATTTGAATTAACTTAATTATCAGTATCAAAATAGAGTAAATGTGACCCTTCTATCACTTATTGACATTGGACAAGGAGAGCGAGTAGTGTGAGAGCAGTGGTGTGAAGAGGTCAGCCATTGTTTTGTTAAGACCAGAGTCGTTGGAGCGAGTTCAGCTCCTATAATTCTCTTGGACGAAGTGTTATGGAGATCAAATTAGTGTTCATCCATCATCAACACGCTGTCAACATAAACAAGGGAAGTGTCTTACCAAAACCCTTTTATCTAATCATTTCTGGCCAATTAATGTTAGGTAAATAAAGGGCGAACCGGTTAGCACACGAATGATCGACTCAACACAGGTAATTAAGCCATGGTCCTTATCTTATATAATATACAATGCTTCTCTGATATAGCTGTCATATATTAGGATTCCGGCTTTACAGCTAGTGCCCTTTGACAGGAACAAGAAGAGGAAGCAAGAATTTATCTTGGTACATCAGTTACTTGGGGTGCTGGAAACTAGCCTCACACGAGGATAATTTGGTGTCTACATCCTAGTTATACCTGGTCGACTAAGCCTACCATACAATAAGATAAGGCACCCCCAATTTTATATACTAATATATGTAGTTTAATACTGTAGTTTGATTGGCTGCATATATATAAATTTAATGTAAACTCCCCTAATGTGTCAGGATCGATTTGTGAGAAATATTGCAGAAATACAGTCCACTTAACATCATACAAATTGCTATCGAAATATATAAATTAGCATAAATATATATTCTATATAAATTCATATAAATTAAATAAATATAAATCTCACAGGTCGGTTCCCACAGGTCCCCCTATTTGCCTTGATGATATTTTCCTGATGATGATAAATCCTATTGTGTCCTAATGCCTAAAGTAACCTTGTGTCTAGTGGTCACGACGGAGACAGGAAGCCGGCAGCTTGTCAATGGTTCCCCCATTTTTCCTAAGTTTTCTCCTTTTCTTACTTCCCTAATTTTCCTCCTTTCCCCCCACAAAAAAGAGTAACAACAACAAAAAAGACTCTGGGGTTGGAGTCCCTGTGCCTTCTTGTACCAACTTCGAGGTTAACTCCGGAGCTGGAGCCCCCTGGGGGCAGTTCCTTGTTGCCTTCAACCTCGTTCTGACAGTTCCTGCGACGGCGCTGGAACCTGTCTTATTGGCGTTTGCCTTTCCAATTGAGACGTTCTGTGCTGTGGAGAGGGGGGCCTGCTGCATGGGTGACAGCTTCTCCCCCCGTATCAACCTACCCTGGCTTTGTGCCCTGGAGAGGCCACTCCAGACCGACAACCAGAACGGAACTCCATAGTCTCCTGGGACAGATGGACGCCTACTACTTGGATGGTCCACCAGTTTTTACATTCTTGTAAAGCCACTAGCACGCATAGCGTCTCGGGCAGGTCCTTTATCCTAATACGGCTAAGTCCTAAGATTAATATTAATTTTAATTATTAACTCCGGAATACGACCCGTCAAATAATTTCACTGCTGGGTGAAGAGAGGAGTAAAGTTAAGGATTGGAACCCAGTCAATCCTCTCCGGCCAGGATACGAACACAGACTATACTGTTCGCGAAGTGCGGGGACTATTGTTTCACCACTGCGCCACGGGGACTGCATGCACGGGGACCAGTCATTGAAAGTTGCACAACAATTGGGAACTCTAATAAGAAAGTCAACTTTATTTTCAAAGAAAATAAAGTTATTGAACTGTAAACATCTCTGGTGCGGCCACATTTGGACTGCTGTATCAAGCATAGAGGCCTCAGCTTCAGAACATATCTGCTGTGGAGAAAGTACAACACAGAGCGACAAAAAGCATCTCAGAACTAAATCGGCTCCCATACCAGGAACGGTTGGGGGCCCCAGGACTAACACAGCAAGCCAGACGGGGCATGGTGGCTCCCATACCAGGAACGGTTGAGGGCCCCAGGACTAACACAGCAAGCCAGACGGGGCATGGTGGCTCCCATACCAGGAACGGTTGAGGGCCCCAGGACTAACACAGCAAGCCAGACGGGGCATGGTGGCTCCCATACCAGGAACGGTTGAGGGCCCCAGGACTAACACAGCAAGCCAGACGGGGCATGGTGGCTCCCATACCAGGAACGGTTGAGGGCCCCAGGACTAACACAGCAAGCCAGACGGGGCATGGTGGCTCCCATACCAGGAACGGTTGAGGGCCCCAGGACTAACACAGCAAGCCAGACGGGGCATGGTGGCTCCCATACCAGGAACGGTTGAGGGCCCCAGGACTAACACAGCAAGCCAGACGGGGCATGGTGGCTCCCATACCAGGAACGGTTGAGGGCCCCAGGACTAACACAGCAAGCCAGACGGGGCATGGTGGCTCCCATACCAGGAACGGTTGAGGGCCCCAGGACTAACACAGCAAGCCAGACGGGGCATGGCCGCTCCCATACCAGGAACGGTTGAGGGCCCCAGGACTAACACAGCAAGCCAGACGGGGCATGGTGGCTCCCATACCAGGAACGGTTGAGGGCCCCAGGACTAACACAGCAAGCCAGACGGGGCATGGTGGCTCCCATACCAGGAACGGTTGAGGGCCCCAGGACTAACACAGCAAGCCAGACGGGGCATGGTGGCTCCCATACCAGGAACGGTTGAGGGCCCCAGGACTAACACAGCAAGCCAGACGGGGCATGGTGGCTCCCATACCAGGAACGGTTGAGGGCCCCAGGACTAACACAGCAAGCCAGACGGGGCATGGTGGCTCCCATACCAGGAACGGTTGAGGGCCCCAGGACTAACACAGCAAGCCAGACGGGGCATGGCCGCTCCCATACCAGGAACGGTTGAGGGCCCCAGGACTAACACAGCAAGCCAGACGGGGCATGGTGGCTCCCATACCAGGAACGGTTGAGGGCCCCAGGACTAACACAGCAAGCCAGACGGGGCATGGTGGCTCCCATACCAGGAACGGTTGAGGGCCCCAGGACTAACACAGCAAGCCAGACGGGGCATGGCCGCTCCCATACCAGGAACGGTTGAGGGCCCCAGGACTAACACAGCAAGCCAGACGGGGCATCGTGGCTCCCATACCAGGAACGGTTGAGGGCCCCAGGACTAACACAGCAAGCCAGACGGGGCATGGTGGCTCCCATACCAGGAACGGTTGAGGGCCCCAGGACTAACACAGCAAGCCAGACGGGGCATCGTGGCTCCCATACCAGGAACGGTTGAGGGCCCCAGGACTAACACAGCAAGCCAGACGGGGCATGGTGGCTCCCATACCAGGAACGGTTGAGGGCCCCAGGACTAACACAGCAAGCCAGACGGGGCATGGTGGCTCCCATACCAGGAACGGTTGAGGGCCCCAGGACTAACACAGCAAGCCAGACGGGGCATGGTGGCTCCCATACCAGGAACGGTTGAGGGCCCCAGGACTAACACAGCAAGCCAGACGGGGCATGGCCGATCCCATACCAGGAACGGTTGAGGGCCCCAGGACTAACACAGCAAGCCAGACGGGGCATGGTGGCTCCCATACCAGGAACGGTTGAGGGCCCCAGGACTAACACAGCAAGCCAGACGGGGCATGGTGGCTCCCATACCAGGAACGGTTGAGGGCCCCAGGACTAACACAGCAAGCCAGACGGGGCATGGCCGCTCCCATACCAGGAACGGTTGAGGGCCCCAGGACTAACACAGCAAGCCAGACGGGGCATGGTGGCTCCCATACCAGGAACGGTTGAGGGCCCCAGGACTAACACAGCAAGCCAGACGGGGCATGGTGGCTCCCATACCAGGAACGGTTGAGGGCCCCAGGACTAACACAGCAAGCCAAACGGGGCATGGTGGCTCCCATACCAGGAACGGTTGAGGGCCCCAGGACTAACACAGCAAGCCAGACGCGGCATGGTGGCTCCCATACCAGGAACGGTTGAGGGCCCCAGGACTAACACAGCAAGCCAGACGGGGCATGGCGGCTCCCATACCAGGAACGGTTGAGGGCCCCAGGACTAACACAGCAAGCCAGACGGGGCATGGCGGCTCCCATACCAGGAACGGTTGAGGGCCCCAGGACTAACACAGCAAGCCAGACGAGGCATGGTGGCTCCCATACCAGAAACGGTTGAGGGCCCCAGGACTAACACAGCAAGCCAGACGGGGCATGGTGGCTCCCATACCAGGAACGGTTGAGGGCCCCAGGACTAACACAGCAAGCCAGACGAGGCATGGTGGCTTCCATACCAGGAACGGTTGAGGGCCCCAGGACTAACACAGCAAGCCAGACGGGGCATGGCGGCTCCCATACCAGGAACGGTTGAGGGCCCCAGGACTAACACAGCAAGCCAGACGAGGCATGGTGGCTCCCATACCAGGAACGGTTGAGGGCCCCAGGACTAACACAGCAAGCCAGACGAGGCATGGTGGCTCCCATACCAGGAACGGTTGAGGGCCCCAGGACTAATACAGCAAGCCAGACGCAGCATGGTGGCTCCCATACCAGGAACGGTTGAGGGCCCCAGGACTAACACAGCAAGCCAGACGCAGCATGGCGGCTCCCATACCAGAAACGGTTGAGGGCCCCAGGACTAACACAGCAAGCCAGACCTGGCATGGTGGCTCCCATAGAAACTTATAAAATACTGAAC